CCCAATTCTTGTTCATTGCCTCCAACACCGTCAATGGACGGCCCACCATGGAGACCCTGCATCCTATACCTATTCTTCACCATCACCTTAGCCATAGGCACATTGGAACCTTGGACCACCCTATTGTAGCGGGACCAGTGAGCAGGGTCGCGCAAGGGCATCAAGACATAGTGTGCCCTAGTCATCCCACTATCAAACCTCCCTTTCACTGTGAAATCAGCACCAAACTTTGCATTCAAACGGACACAAAGGTCGTTGAAGCTATGAGGTTCATCAAACCATTCTAATTCTTCTTCCATATCCTCAAACATACCATCTTCTTTTCTAACACTTCCTTCGTAATAAACTCGGACACAACAATCCATCTACAAAAGCAATTAAGGAAACTTCATCGAGTCATCTTAATCGTCGTACGTACTGTCTATAGTAATATTAATACCTATACTAACTATAACTATACTAAGACCCTGTTTGGTTACCCCTCCTAAAATTTTAGGAGCTAAAATCTGGATAGAATTTGCCTAAAGAACCAAACACCTCCTCCTAAAAACTTCTAAAAACTTTAGGAGGGGCAAAAAACTTTAGGAGCTCCACCCCCTCCTAAAAGCTCCTAAAGTCCATCATGGACCCCCACTACCCCTCCTTTATTGCCCTGCCCCCTCTCTCTCTCTCCTAGAGGAGGGCTGCATGGTCTATTTGCTAGTGCATTTATTGCTTTTAGTCAGTTTTAGGAGATGAAACCAAACACTCTTTTAGAAGGTTTTAGCAGCCTCATAAAAGCTCCTAAAACTTTTAACTCCTAAAAAATTTAGGAGCTTGGAACCAAACAGGGCCTAACTAATCTAATATTAACACCTATACAAGACTAACTACAATAACTAATTATACTAAATACAATAGCTAACTAGACTCACTAACTATACTAACTAAACTAACGGTAGGGTGATCGTGACGCCTAAGAGGGGGGAGGGTGAATTAGGCAACTTAAAAATCTACTTCTAAACTATGGCCTCTTTTTCTAACCTTAGCAAAACCTATGCAAAAGATAAACTATCTAAATGTGCAACTACGGTTTTGCTAGTGTATTGCTATCTCTACCACAAAAGGAGTAATACAATTAATGTAAATGCGGAAGCTAAAAAGCAAGGTAGAGATATGCAAACTCCTGTCGATGACTCTGGTATTTTTACCGAGGTATCGAGAAGCGCTCAAGCTTCCCCCTAGTCCTCGTTGGAGCCCCTCGCAAAGAATCCCTCGCAAGGGCCAAGCTCCCGGTTGGGTAACTCCGTGGATAGCCTTGGGCCTTCCCCATGCTCAAGTGGGTCTCCGACGTGCCTTCCGGCAAGCCTCTCCCGGATGCTCCCCGCCGTCTTCACTATCAAGCTTCCGGTCGAAATGCCACGGGCCTTGTTTCCTCCGATACACGGTGGTGGCCACACCACGAACGCAATTGGTGTGATCTCGCAAAACTACAAGCCCCTCCGATATACAATAATGGTGTGCGTAAGCACCGAGTGATAAGAGGAATGCAAACCTCACTAAACACTAGGCCTAAACCTAGAGCAAGTGCATAAGCGGTGGTCTAATCAACCTAAGCACTTCGCAAAGCACCTACGCTAATCACCTAATGAATCACTAAGCACTATGCAAGTGGAAATCACTAAAATGGTGTATCAACACTCTTGGTATGTTTTCTCAGCTTCACTCCACTCATTTGGCCGGTTGGGGGTTGTATTTATAAGCCCCACTGAAAAACTAGCCGTTGGGGATGAAATCCCGCTTTTCTGCTACTGACCGGACGCTGGAGTCATCCTGATCGGACGCGTCCGGTCTAGTCACTTGCCACCGGACGCGTCCAGACGCAAGTTCACCGCTCTGGAACCTCTTTGTACTCGATCGGACACTGCTGTCCTGCGTCCGGTCGGTTTACCGCCAGCGTCGATCCAGGCGTTTGGTCGGCTTGCATTGCTGTTCTTGAGCCTCGATCGAGTGTCCGGTCGCTTTTAAATCGTCGTCCGGTCTAGCGTCCGTCATTCATTGTGAATTTGTTTCTTCGCGATATTGCGTGCAGCTTGGTTCCTATCTTCATGCTTGGACTTTGCTTGATATCTTGGGTCTTCTCTTGTGCTCCTAAGGTCTTGCTTGAGATGTTGATCATCGAATCATCACGTCGCCTTTGTCCAAGTCACGTCTTGCATCTTATTGAACTACAAAACTATCACTTATAAATTTATTAGTCTAATTTGGTTGTGTTGATCATCAAGCACCAAAATCCAAAGTAAATTAGCCTAGGGTCCATTTTCCTTACACTAACTAACTTTACTAACTATACTAACTTACTATACTACCTATACTACCTATACTAACTAAACTAACTAACTTTACTAACTATACTTTACTAACTATACTAACTATACTAACTTTACTAACTATACTAACTTACTATACAAACTATACTAACTAATCATTCAAACTAATTTTGCATCTTAACCCTAAGTAACAACAATTTCGATTCAATCAACAAATACATAAGGGGAGTACCTTGACAACGAGGGGAAGATTGGGGCTTAGCCAAATCCACCAATGGCGGCGAGGTGGCCATCGGCGACAATGGCCACCGTCGGTGGCCTTCTTGTGGGAGAAGAGAGAGAAGGAGAGGGTTGCGGCACACCGCCGGCAACCAAGGAAAGGATAGGGGGACGTAGGTGAAGAACGATGGGGAGAGAGGTCGACCGACAGTGGGGAAGGGGCCGCTACGCCGGTGACGGGAATGGCTCCTGGAGCGGCCTAGATAGGGAGGAATGGGGAGAGAGGGAGAGAGGGAGGCGGGTGGTCGCGGGGGAGGTGCGAGTGGTGGCCTCGGCGGCGGTGGTGGCGGCTGGGTGGACGTGGGCAGGGCGGCGGCGGTAGGTGCGTCTTCCCCTTGATCCGTTTCATTAGAGTGAAAGAGAGACAATGAGGGGAGGGAGGCCGGTCCGTGGTCCTGTATTGGGCTTCGTCGCATCGTGGGCCGTGGCGCGGCACTGCCGCGCCAAAATCTACGGTGCGGCAGCACCTGCCATGTCAGCGCCCAGGGCCTGGAGAAGTGCCATGTCATCACCGTTGCCACGCCGCCATGCATGACGCGGTAACGTTGTTTGGCCACGCCGTGGTAATAGACGTGGCCAAAAGTGTTAGATTTGAAAATAAAAAAAATTAAGTGTCAAATTTGGAAATAGTTTAAGAAAAGTGTTTGAAATAAAAAATGTGATGACCCACGACCCACGTGCGCGTCTGGTCCATCAAGGCCTACATTCATCCAGCCGCCTACACGGCCCAGGCCATCCGGAGCGACGGTCCGCGAGACCGCCACCTAGCAAGCCGAGCGTCAATGGACGCCCACCATGGAGACCCTGCATCCTATACCTATTCTTTACCACCACCACCTTAGCCATAGGCACATTAGAACCTTGGAGCACCCTATTGTAGCGGGACCAGCGAGCAGGGTCGCGCAAGGGCATCAGGACATAGTGTGCCCTAGTCTTCCCACTATCAAACCTCCCATTCACTGTGAAATCAGCACCAAACTTTGTATTCAAACGAACACAAAGGTCATTGAAGCTAGGAGGTTCATCAAACCATTCTAATTCTTCTTCCATATCCTCAAACATACCATATTCTTTTCTAACACTTACTCCGTAAAAAACTCGGACACAACAATCCATCTACAAAAGCAATTAAGAAAACTTCATCGAGTCGTCTTAATCATCGTACATACTATCTATAGTAATATTAATACCTATACTAACTATAACTATATTAACTAATCTAATATTAACACCTATACAAGACTAACTACAATAACAAATTATACTAAATACAATAGCTAACTAGACTCACTAACTGTACTAACTAAACTAACTTTACTAACTATACTAACTTACTATACTACATATACTAACTAAACTAACTAAACTAACTTTACTAACTATACTAACTATACTAACTTACTATATGAACTATACTAACTAATCATTCAAACTAATTTTGCATCTTAACCCTAAGTAACAACAATTTCGATTCAATTAACAAATACACAACGGGAGTACCTCAACGAGGGGAAGATTGGGGCTTAGCCAAATCCACCAATGGCGACGAGGTGGCCGTCGGCGGCAATGGCCGCCGCTGTCGGCCTTCTTTTGGGAGCAGGAGAGAGAAGGAGAGGGGTGCGGCACACCGTCGGCCAGCCAAGGAAAGGACAGGGGGCGCAAGTGAAGAACGATGGGGAGAGAGGTCGACCGGCGGTGGGGAAGGGGCCTCTGCGTCGACGACGGGCACGGCTCTTGGAACGGCCTAGAGAGGGAGGAATGGGGAGAGAGGGAAGTGGGTGGTCGCGGGGGGAGGCGCGGGTGGTGGCCTCGGCGGCGGTGGCGGCGGCGGATGGACGCGGGTAGCGGCGGCGGCGGGCGCGTCTCCCCCTTGTTCCGTTTCACTGGAGTGAAAGAGAGACAGTGAGGGGAGGGAGGCCGGTCCGCGGTCCTGTATTGGGCTTCGTCACGCCGTGGGCCATGGCGCGGCATTGCCGCGCCAAAATCTGCGGCGCGGTAGAGCCTGCCACGTCAGCGGCCAGGGCCCGGGGAAGTGCCACGTTATCGCCGCTGCCGCACCGCCATGCATGACGCAACAACGTTGTTTGGCCACGCCATGGTAATAGACGCAGCCAAAAGTGTTAGATTTAAAAATAAAAAAATTCGGTGTCAAATTTGAAAATAGTTAAAAAAAGTGTTTGAAAAAAAAAAAAACGCGACGACCCACGACCCACGTGCGCGTCTGGTCCATCAAGGCCTACATTCATCCAGCCGCCTACACGGCCCAGGCCATCCGGAGCGACGGTCCGCGAGATCGCCACCCAGCAAGCCGAGCGGCGCCAATTCCACGCTGCCATCGTCTTCCTCCGTCACACCCGGCCTCGCAAACCCTAGCTCGCCCCGGCCCCACCTCCGGCCCCGCTCGTCGACGCCATGTCGAAGCGCTCGAAGCTCGAGGGTTTCAGCATCCCGCGGCCCACCTCCTACAACTCCGAGCGCTCGCAGCCCGTGCAGCGGCTCTACCGTCCGACCGATGACCCGGACCTCGACGACAACTCCTTCTCCGACGACGCCCCCTCAGATGCCCCCGCCAGCACCGCGGTGGAAGGAAAGGCGGAGGATGAGGAGGAGATCGATCCGCTCGACGCCTTCATGGCCGAGATCCAGGAGGAGATCCGCGCGCCTCCCCCGCCGCTCAAGCCCGAGGCGCTTCGCCGCGCGGACTCCGACGATGACGAGGATGATCCCGTCGAGAGCTTCCTGCGGGCTAAGAAGGACGCCGGTCTCACGCTGGCCGCCGACGCCATGCGCGCTGGTTACGACTCCGACGAGGAGGTCTATGCCGCTGCCAAGGCCGTCGACGCCGGCATGATGGAATATGACTCCGATGACAACCCCATAGTCGTCGACAAGAAGAAAATAGAGCCCATACCAGCACTCGATCACTCGACCATTGAGTATGACGCCTTCACCAAAGATTTCTACGAGGAGAAGCCGTCGATTTCAGGTGAAGCACTTGGTACCTAGCATTCTTTTCTGAACCTATGATTCTACTATCTAATTCTGTACATGTAATGTTGGTTTTTAACTAGGTGTCCCTTGTAGCTTACACGGTTGAGCTGCTTTAGTTCTACCTTGCGAGGATATGCAGCCAGTTCTTTTACTTTGTAATTAGCTTAGTAAATTATGTGATGAACGTAGCATAAGTTGGATTGGATGCTCTGTTCCATGGCGCAATATGAACTTCTGTTGTGTTGGCATGGAAGTGAAGCCATGTTGTTCCAAGTCCACTCTCGTTTTAATTGCATTCTTCTAGTTCGGTGCTAGAGATTAAATATATATAGTTCTTTTTATTGGGAAAAATTCTATTACTTCCTTTTGCTTCTCATCCTTATGCAATCGATAATGTTTCATATGCCCTTCTGTACGACTCTTATGGCCAAAAGCTCAAATGTTTCAAATCACTTGGGTGTATCAAAGGCCCCATAACACCTGATTGTAACTGTGTTGTACGTGAAGTATTTCCCTTGCATTACACAGTCGCCCCATAACACCTGATTGTAACTGTGTTGTACGTGAAGTATTTCCCTTGCAGTACACAGTCGTTCTTCAGTATTTGTGCAGATGCAATGCATTATGTTTCTTAAGAACTACTCCCTCCATTCCAAATTGTAAGTAGATACTATTTTGCTATGCACTTAGATATTCATTTTGTCTAGGTTAAAGCAATGTATCTATAAAATCCAAAACGTCTTATAATTTGGAAAGGAGGGAGTAGATGCCATGTTGGTGGTTGTACTGCCTTGGACAGCAAACCTCCACTCTGGTTAGCCAAGGGCCAAGGCACTTACTAGTGTTCCAAGTATATAAGGCTTGTAATTGAAGAAATGGTAGATGTTCTTATCGACCATAAAATTCTGATATTTGTCTCAAAACTAGATTAAAGTCGATGGGTTACTGGTCCATTATCCCAGCATCGGGTCATGTAGAAAATCTGCAGAACATTGCATTGTGTTTAGGCCTAAGTTTCTTCCCATTACTCATAATCAAACTTTGATCTCCATATATTCTACTCCAAAGGAAGAAGCAAATTTGAACTGCATCCCTGTTCTTTCTTCCTTCCTAAGGGCCTGTTTGGGATACAGGTATAGTATCCAATACCTCTGTAAAATTCAACCTAATGATTTTACCACCTGGCCTGGAAAAGATTTCTTTTGGATTTAGAAGGTGTGAGACGATTCATGCCAGAATGAGCGATGGAGACTCGAGAAGAATATGATTACCCAGACATCATTTTACAGGGGGGCAGGGGTCTTGTTGTGCACAAGAAATCACCACTGGAATATCTATACAGATGCTACTTTCAAAGAAATATCTATACAGATGCAAAAAAATACAATGTTGCCAAACATGCCCTTTGTTATGGTCCTTAGATCATTGGGGGGATAACCATTGCCAGGAAGATGGCCGGGCAAAGACGGCGTGGAGGGAGAGTATTTGGGGGAATTGGATTGTTTGTTCTTTCTTCATTGCTTCCTTCTCCTTGGTACATCACCTCCCTTTAAATAGAGAGGACTCCTGGCCACCTAAGGAAGGCCCAATCAAATCATAACAAATCATATCCAATCCTATCTCTAATCGACCCCAATCTGATCCTATCTCTAACTGTTCAAATCCCTTTAATTGATCTAATCTAATATCTTTCCTAATACTTATTCCTTCCTTAGCAAGGGCGCTATAGGACGCACTACAGTATCGTGGGTACTGTTCACACAAGCTCAGGCTGGGCCATCCTGGGCTCAGCACCCATAACACTCTAAATTAGCATTTAGTTAAGTCTTAAGAAGTAAGGTAATGCTCCTGGAGCCTTGCAAGTATTTTTCTTTATGATTGATGTTGTGACAACCAGCGTGCTATACGATTTGTTTACAGCACCCACAGATTGCTGCTTCTCGATCTTTATGATGAGTTATGATGTATTGAAATCGTTTTTTCTTATAGGTATGAGTGACCAAGAGGTAGCAGATTATATGAAAAGTTTGGCAATTCGGGTTTCTGGTTTTGATGTGCCAAGGCCAATATTTTTTTCAGGATTGTGGGTTTCCTGTACCGCTAATGAATGCTATTGCCAAGCAAGCTTATGAAAAACCAACTACAATTCAGTGCCAGGCTTTACCTATTGTACTTTCAGGCAGAGATATCATTGGTATTGCAAAAACTGGTTCGGGCAAAACTGCAGCTTTTGTGCTCCCTATGATTGTTCATATTATGGATCAGCCTGAGCTTGAGAAAGAAGAAGGTCCAATAGGAGTCATTTGTGCTCCAACAAGAGAATTGGCACATCAGATATATCTCGAAGCTAAGAAGTTTGCAAAGCCTTACAACCTTCGAGTTGCTGCTGTATATGGTGGTGTTTCCAAATTTGACCAGTTTAAAGAACTGAAAGCAGGCTGTGAAGTAGTCATTGCAACTCCAGGGAGATTAATAGACTTGCTGAAGATGAAGGCATTGAAGATGTTCAGGGCAACTTATCTGGTTCTTGATGAAGCTGATCGCATGTTCGATCTTGGATTTGAGCCACAAATACGATCCATTGTTGGTCAAATTAGACCAGATCGACAAACCTTACTTTTTTCTGCAACAATGCCATACAAAGTAGAGCGTTTGGCAAGAGAAATATTGACTGATCCTATTAGAGTTACAGTTGGTCAAGTTGGCGGTGCTAATGAAGACATTAAACAAGTTGTTAATGTACTCCCTTCTGATGTTGAGAAAATGCCTTGGCTTTTGGAGAAATTGCCTGGAATGATTGATGATGGAGATGTTCTTGTATTCGCATCTAAGAAGGCTAGAGTGGATGAGATGGAGAAAGAGTTGAATCAGAGAGGATTCAGAATTGCAGCACTTCATGGTGACAAGGATCAAGCTTCTCGTATGGAGACCCTGCAGAAGTTCAAATCTGGGACATATCATGTTCTGGTTGCAACTGATGTTGCTGCACGAGGTCTTGACATCAAATCGATTAAAACAGTTGTCAACTTTGATATCGCAAAAGAAATGGATATGCATATTCACCGAATTGGAAGAACTGGTCGTGCTGGTGATAAAGATGGCACTGCATACACTCTGATTACACAGAAGGAAGCACGCTTTGCTGGTGAACTGGTTCACAGTTTGATTGCTGCTGGCCAGGATGTACCCAATGAACTCATGGATCTGGCTATGAAGGTTAGTTAGCTTATTGATGAATTTTTGTTTCAGTGTTGCGTTACATAGTAAGCTCTAGACTTGCATGGAATTCTAGCTAAATACAATGTTATGCAAACTGGATGTTTGCAGCAATGTAGACACTATCTCATAATTTCAGTTCTTTTGCAATTTAAAATAATCCCGTTCTTTTTCTGAAACTATTGTGATTGCAGGATGGAAGATTCAGAGCAAAACGGGACTCCAGGAAAGGTAGGTCCTGCTTACTTATTTACAGAGCAGGAATCTGGTTATCTGGATGAGTCGTTTATGGAAACATGTACTAACAAATCATTATGTTGATCAGGTGGGAAGAAAGGTGGCAAAGGAAAAGGTGGCGGTGGAGGTGCTGGGCGTGGTCGTGGTGTGCGTGGAGTTGATTTTGGCCTCGGCATAGGTTACAATGCTGAATCTGGTTCGCAAGTGTCTGCTCCAAGATCTGCTGCTGTAAATTCGCTGAAGACAGGAATGATGCAGCAATTTAAGAGCAGCTTTGTCTCTGGATCTTCAAATACTCCAAGCAGCAGTGCACCTTCCTTTGTAAGACCAGCACTCCGTGGCTTTGTGTCTGGCGGCACCATTGGAGGAGATGCGCGGCCTGCACAGTCGGCCCCCACTTTCGTCCCTGCATCCCGGCCTGCAGGAAACAACAATGAAAATGGGAACTCAAATCCAGAAAGGTAGGTAACTCAGGGCATGTTGTGCCTGCCCTGTGGGTCATACGTTTATTATCTTGTGTCAATCATTGTTCTGTATCCTGTTTTCTAAGTCAAAGTTTTGCATGAATTGCAGTTCACGGGATCGGTCCAGGGAGAGAAAACGACCATCAGGTTGGGATCGCTAGTCCCTGCTAACCGTTGTGCCGAATTGTGATTCCTTTCCCCCTTTGTTATATTGATATTGATGTAGTCTCTTGGGAGATCCTATAAAAAAGTCATATTGATGTACACTATAGATTACATGATGTCAGGTTGTGAATGATAAGTGTTGTTTTTAGTTTAGTTTGACCTCTATCCGTCATCCTCCAGCTACTGTTGTATCTGGCCGTTGGGTCACGTTTTTCACCACAGGAAAGTTCACTAGTTGTCCTCGAACTTGGCACTAAGGACTTCTTTGGTTTATAGGACAGGATTGAGAATTCTATAGGAATTGCACTGTTTCGTGCCTTTGATTCATAGAAATGGAGCATAGGAATAGTGTAGAAAGTTTTCCTTTGGCTGCTGTTTTGGAGGAATAGGAATGGAGCATAGGAATAGTGTAGAAGTTTTCCTATGGTTGCCTGTTTGGAACGGAGGGATGCAAAACACAGGAACGAGAGAAAACACAGAAATGGGAAAGAAATAGAGGTGTAAAACAGAGGATTGGAAAACACAGGAATTTTGTAGAAACGAGTGTTTGGAACACAGGAATACTAATAGCATGAAAGTTTCCATGTCGTGTATTTGTAGCACTTCGATAAAGTAGAACCACCGCACATAAAGCTTTGTTTATTCTCAGGAGTGAGTTACCACCGCACATAAAGCTTTGTTTATTATCAGGAGTGAGTTCGTAAGCGACAGAGCCACAAAGGAAAGATTTCCCTGTGCTCGGAGCTCATTTTCTATTTTCTTCAAAAGTACAGGTTATTTTGCCTTTCCTATGGAATGGTTAGAGTTGATTCCTTTGTTCCAAACGGTGTTACAGTGAAGAAAACTATAGGAATCAGAATCCTCCATTTTTCTATGTTATTTCCGTGATCCAAACAAGCCCTTACTCTACCATATTTCCTGTGTTTTTTCTCATTCCTCTGTTTTGCATTCCTTTGTTTCAAACAAGCCCTCAAACCTCTTGACAAAAATCCTATGTTTTTTCTATGGTCCATCTATCCAAATGATTATTCCTTTAAAATTCATGCGTTCTTTTAATCCTTTGTTTTGCAACTACATTCATGTGTAATTTCTATGTTTTCCTATTCATGTGTTTTGCTTTCCTTATTAGTTCTAAAGGAGGCCCAAGTGTCATTCCTGTCATCCAACTTATGAAATACCATTTTTTGATATCAAAAGTTGGCCGTCATTTAGGTCCTTAATTTAGTAAATTCTATTTTTGTTACCTAAACTTGGCTTGGTGTCATCCAAATTCAAATGAGTTATGAATTGCTCCATGCGTTGATGTGGCATAGGCTGCTAACCGTGCTAACATGGACTCATCATGTGAGGTCCACAATCGCTCCACTTCTCTTTCTCGTCCAAATGGGTCATGAAGGGCGTGTTTGGTTGGGTGGTTTTGGCCTGGCCTAGCCCATGGGATGCAGGTACATGGGCGTTTGGTCTAGCCTAGGGACTGCGGGGAAGGGTTAGGGTTACCTCCCCATTTCGCACCATCCTGGGATATCTCACCCCCGCAGCCACCTCTTCTCATTCGCGCTGTCCACTCCAAGCTCTCGGCTCTCGGCTCTCTTCTTCCTCTTCCACTCCTGCGCCGCAGGTGAGGCCCTGCCCCCTCCATGAACTAGATCCTGCTCTTATCTCCTCCCCGCGCTTCCGTTGCGGTAAAGATTGAGGCTTGCGGTGACAGTTTTGCCCGACTTTGTTGTAGGATTCGGAGGGGTCAATCTTTGAAGGCTGCCTTCTATGGCACACATAGCAGAGAGGAGCTGAAAATGGATGACAAAATACCATGAAGAGCCATGATGGTTGCTTAGCAAAATCAAAAGATTTAATTATATTAATCCAGTCTCTTGTAACCCTTCTGTTAGTTTCAGTAGTTGTTAAGATGGTGTGGACTGTGATGTAGCTGAGAGCTGGTGAGGGATGGGTGGTATCCTCACCAGTCACCACTTCATGTGGGAGGTATCCAAACCTTGAACTTGTGCAACCAACCAACCAAATAAAGTTGCATCTCGTATTCATTCAGGCTGGCTCCAACTTGTAACCAAACAACTGCTCGCGCTAGTCAGGCTCGTTGGCACCAACCAACCAAACACAAGCTACCTGCATGGATTCGGCCTGGCTAGCCAGGGCCTGGCTGGTAGATACGGGCCAGGCTACCCTCAACAGTGAACCAAACACGCTGAATTGCTCCATGTGTATTTCTCCTCTTCTCTCGTCCAAATAGGCCCCATGCGCATTTCTCATCTTCCTCGTCCAAATAGGTCATGCGTATTTCTCTTGTCTCCTCCAAGTAGGTCTTACATGTCGGTTCACGTCAACATAGAGTCAACACATGCTTATTGCAATGTCAACCCAAGGAGTGTTTAGATTTGATCGACACCCAGAGCCAAGTTTAGGGATTTGATGCGAGTATTTTATCCAGCCCTAGTCATGTCGCATCCGTTGAGCTTCCATCTGCGAATCATGATGCTCACGACGCAATCGACCTGTCCAAGTGCTGAGGCTTCATGGATTAACGAGGATAGTCACTAGCCAAACAAAAATTCGGCAGCTCGTATCTGGCTTATAAGCCTTGGCTTATCAGTCAACGAACAGTAGCCTGTTTGACAGCTCGTATCTGGCTTATCAACCAACGAACATTATTTTTCTCTCACACCAAACCAACCAGCAGTACTTTCAGTCATAGCTTATAAGTCAATTCAGTCGAAACGAACGGAGTTTAGAGATTAAAAAATGGTATTTTCTAAGATGGAGGACCAGGATAACATCCTCTGCCAAATTTGAGGATCTGTTACTCTTTCCACAGTTGTGATCATCAAACCACATTGTGCCAGCTTGTCATACTTGAGATATGGTATTATGGCCTTACGTGACAATGTGACATATCTATATGTAATGAAACTTCATGTTGATTGATCAATTTTCTCAGAAATAGCTGTTGTGTTCAGGTGGAGTGGCATTTGAGTGTTCGACCGAACATGCGCCCGTGCTAATTCATTATGGTCCTAAAACTACAATAATAAATCATTGGACTAGGCAGGGCAGTAGAAAGACTATGTCATGGCGAACTGTGGTCAGGTGATGAATTAGAAGGTTCTGGCTAGGGAGTCAAGAGCATCCCAAGAAATTAAGGTCTTCATTTATCAGGCTTGGTTGGTTGATTACCTCAAGATTGCAAAGGTGAGCATCTAACTGCAATGTACGTATGCAGGTGACAAAGTTAATGGGATTTTTAAGGTGCTCATAAAAAATGATTTGTTAGCTCGATGATTCAGTTTCTGGCCTGAAAAGTAAAATTGCAACCAAGAGCATAAAATATTAGTTAAATTGGTTATTCCCTTGTGTTGCAGAGGCTAATGGCAGGACATTTCAGGGTAGTCCCATACGTGTGAAGGTGTTATGAACTGGAAGACCTCGATTTGCAGTGCAGTAATTTTGTTAGTGTCAGGTGCCTTTTCTTCCTTGTATTTTATTCCTTCATGACGAACCTCTGTGGAAGCCCCAGCTGCAACCAATATTCTGCTGTGACTTCGCGGAATATGTATATATAACCAGTAATCTGTAACGTAACTAGTACTTTAGGTTGGCTGCAAAAACTAGTACTTTTGTTTTGCTGCCAAATTGGTACACTAGATAACAAACAGGATGTGTCACAGAAAAATGCTTGACTACTGGAGTGGTATGAATCTACGGTATTTTTCTCTCACAGCAAATTAGCTTTAGCCGACTTTAATACCAGCCGAACAAGCCCCAAATGAGACATGCTGGATAGCTTGATCACCTGTGTTTGCTGGATAGCTTTGTCACAAAGCTGAATGACAAACATGAAAAGAAACGTTGAATGTTGTACAATGAGCCCTTATCAAAATAGTATTGTATATAAACCCTTTAGTTATCACCATGTGGAATATGTCATTTCAGATCAAATGGATCTATCCCTGACCATCATTGAAGACAACACAACCAAGAATTTCAATTAATTCAAACACTCACAATATTTGGGTGACTAGAGTACAACAATATGTTCAAGGCACAAAAAAGAAAATGGTCATATTCGTTTCGCTGAAATTTGGCTTATGATGATTTGTTGTGAGAGGAAAACACTATTTATTCGCTGAAAAGTAGTGCCTGCAGAACATGGCCAATATTTGATGTGTGCTGTAACAAAAAAAAAGGTTGTCGCCTGCCCACATTCATTAGTGCAAAAGCCACTAAGTATTCTCCCAAGTCCCAGCATAAGAAAAACATGAGGGGTGGAGGGCATGGGTGGTCACTTAGGTATGAAAACGGATCGGATACGGACGGATATGGCTGATATTATACACCATATTCGCTTGATCGTTTCTGTGGCTTATAAGCTGGCTGATGCTATTTTTTTTAGAGAAAAACACTGTATTATGGCTGATAAGCATGGCTGATACGATCAAGTGAACATGGTGATATTTGTTTTCATATTTCTGTCCGGAATCGGATTCGAATACGGATATTGTCAACCATGCCGGATAAGATACGATTGAATATCGACATCATAAATATGTGATTTGAGTATTCGGATAAGGATACGGTATCGGATATTGAATATCTGGATTCGGATACGAAAAAATTTAAACCCCTCTAAACGGATTTGATCTCAAATACGGTCGGAAAATATATGCACCATTTTTGTCAGCAACACCAACCTTTAGGTAGGCAACCCAAGTTTGAATCCCCGTGTCAAGAGAACCTGATTCCTATGTGTTCTCATAAAGCAGGGGGGTGGGGAGGGGGTAACTGTGGCTTAAAGCTGGTCTCTGGCCCATCATGTAAGAAAAAATGCCCAAGTCCCAACATGGGAAAAAATGATCTCATTTATTGCCAAAACATGAGACATTGCATGACCAGTACATACATGATCACCAAAGACCAAATATACAATCTAATTTGATTAAGTTCTCACCGTCTTGGATGTCAAAAGTGAATCCAAATATCCAAT